AGCACAAAACTCCTAAAGCTTGGGACACTGTGTCCTCCACCCTGGAAAGAGAGCCCTACTTTAACAAATAGTTAAAAGTCAAGTGATAAGCTGGTAAAATAAGCAAACAACAGAAAAAAAAAAACTCTTGACTGTAGACAGTTACTATGGTGACAAGGAAGATCAAAACATTCAGAAAAAGACAACAAAGTCAAAGCTCCTACATCCAAAGCCTCCAAGAAAAATATGAATAAGTCTCAGGCCATGGAAGAACTCAAAAAGGATTTTGGAAATCAAGTAAGAGAGGTAGAGGAAAAAATGGAAAGAGAAATGAGAATCATGCAAGAAAATTGTGGAAAATGAGTCAATAGCTTGGTAAAGGACACACACACACACACACACAAATACTGAAGAAAATAACACCTTAAAAAACAGACTAAGCCAAATGGTAAAAGAAGGTCAAAAAGCCAATAAGGAGAAGAATGCCTTAAAAAGTAGAATTGGCCTAATGGAAAGGGTGGTCCAAAACCTCACTGAAGAAAATAATTCCTTTAAAATTAGAATGGAGCAAATGGAAGCTAATGACTTTATGAGAAATCAAGAAATAATAAAACAAAACCAAAAGAATGAAAAAGTAGAAAACAATGTGAAATATCTCATTGGAAAAACAACTGACCTGGAAAATAGATTCAGGAGAGATAATTTAAAAATTTTTGGACTACCTGAAAACCATGATCAAAAAAAAAAAAGAGCTTAGATATCATCCTTCAAGAAATTATCAAGAAAAACTGTCCTGATATTCTAGAACCAGAGGGTGAAATAGAAATTGAAAGAATTCACTTATCACCTGTGAAAAAGATTCCAAAATGAAAACTTCCAGGAATATTAAAGCCAAATTCCAGAGTTTCCAGGTCAAGAAGAAAATTTTGTAAGCAGTCAGAAAGAAACAATTGAAGTATTGTGGAACCACACTCAGAATAACACAAGATTTAGCAGTTTCTACACTAAAGGACTGAAGGATTTGGAATATGATATTCTGGAGGACAAAGGAGCTAGGATTACAACCAAGGATTGCCTACCCAGCAAAACTGAGTACAATCCTTCAGGGGAAAAATTTACATTCAATGAGATAGATGACTTTCAAGCATTCTTGATAAAAAGACCAAAACTGAATAGAAAATTTGACTTTCAAATACAAGATTCAAGAGAAACATAAAAAACAGAAAAGGGAAATCATAAGGGACTTAATAAGTTCAACTGTTTATATTCCTACATGGGAAGAGGATATTTGTAACTAATAAGATGTTTCTCATTGGGCTAATTAGAAGGAGTATATACAGACAGGGAGCACAGATGTGAGTTAAATATGAAGGGATAATATCTAAAAAAATAAAATTAAGGGGTGAGTGAGGAATGCACTGGGAGAAAGAGAAAAGAAGAGGTAGTTTAAAAGTGTAATAGTATAAAAGTATAAAAGAGCTTTTACAGTAGAAAGAGGGGAGAAGCGATGGGGGATGAGTGAACCTTACTCTCAGAATCAGCTCAAAGAGGAAATAACATACAAACTCAATTGGGTATTGAAATCTATCTTAATCTACAGGAAAGTAGGAGGGGAAGGGGATGGGAAGTGATAGAAGGGAGGGCAGATTGGGAGAGGGAGTTGTCAGAAGCAAAACACTTTTGAGGAGGGACAGTGTGGAAAGGAGAGAGAGAATAGAATAAACAGGGTGGGGGAATAGGATGGAGGGAAATACAGTTAACAATAATAACAAAAAATTTGAAGCAAGTTTCTCTGATAAAGGCCTCATTTCTCAAACATATAGAGAACTGCGTCAAATTTATAAAAATAAGAGCCATTTTCCAATTGATAAATGATCAAAAATATGATGTTTTCAGATGAAGTAATCAAAAGTATTTATAGCCACATAAAAAATACTCTGAGTTGCTATTGATTGGAGAAATGTAAATTAAAACAATTCTGAGGTACTACCTCTTACCTACTAGATTGGCTAATAATCAGAGAGGATGTGGAAAAAATGAGACATTAATGTACTGTTGGTGGAGTTGTGAATTGATTCAAATATTCTGTAAAGTAGCGCTTCTTAAACTGTGGGTCACAACCCCGTACGTGGTCAAATAACAATGGGGGGGTCAAAAAAAGTTTGGTAACAGTAAAAGCTTTCTGAAAATGCAACAACCAAAAATTAATTCAAAATCAAATGCAGGATGAATCTAAGGTGTTTCTGGCAGCGCTTGCCCATATTACGTTGCACAACTTCGCTGCAGCCTTGGTTCTGAACATATAACATGCACACTTTGGGGGCAGCTAGGTGGTGCAGTGGATAGAGTACCAGCCCTGGATTCAGAAGGACCTGAGTTCAAATCTGGCCTCGGACACATAACACTTACTAGCTGTGTGACCCCGGGCAAGTCACTTAACCCCATTGCCTAACCAAAAAAAAAAAAAAACAAAAACATGTACACTTTGCACTGCTCATGACATCATGCCATAAAGCACCAATGAATCCTGCCAGAAACACCTTGGCTCATATTTGAGACTATCATATGTCTTGAATTGCAGTGTTTTTAGTATACATACAAAATCTTTAAATGAATTTTGGCTTGGGATTAGCACAGAATTTCTAACAATTTCTGAAATAGCCCTAAATATACTTCTGCCATTTTGTACTATGTATTTATGTGAAGTGGCATTCTTAGCACTGATGATTATAAAATCAAAATGTCGATCAACACTGAAAAATGTTGAAGATGCTCTATATTCTGCAGTGTCAAATATTCTGTCAAGATATAATTCTTTATGTAAAAATAAACAAACACATCCATCTCATTAGTATGCAAATTTGCTTTTGTCTTTAATAAATTATAAAATTATATGTATACCAAAGAATTATTTTAAAATAATTTTTTTTATGATTTATTATCAGGAAATGTTTGATTTTCATACCTATTTTATATACTTGTATCCCTAGGGTCACATAAAAATTTCTTGGGCAACAAGTGGTCAAGAGTGGAAAAAGTTTAAGAAATTCTGCTATAAAACTATGGATAGCCTTTGACCTAGCAATACCACTACTAGGTCTATATCCCAAAAGAGATTTTTTTTTTAAAAAAAAGGACCTATATATACAAAAATATTTATAGCAGCTCTTTTCTGGGGGCAAAGAATTAGAAATTAAGGGATGCCAATCAAATAGGGAATGGCTGAATAGGTTGTGGTATGTGATTATGATGGAATACTACTGTACTATAAGAAATGATGAGCAGTATGTCTCAGAAAAACCTGGAAGACTTGCATGAGCTGATGAAAGTGAAATGTACAAAGTTACAGCAATATTGTAATATGATTAGCTGTGAATGACTTAGCTATTTTCAGAAATACAATGATTCAAGACAACTCTGAAGGACTTAAGGTGGAAAATGTTATCCATCCTCAAGAATTGATGGTATCTGAATACAGATTGATGCATAATTTTTTATTTTGTTATTTTTCTTGATGTTTTTGTATATTTTTTTCACAACATGACTATTATAGATATGTTTTGCATGACTACCCATATATAACCTATATCAAATTGCTTGCCTTCTCAAAGGGGAGAAGAAGGGAGAGAATTTGGAACTTAAATTTTTAAAAATGAAAATTAAAAATTGTTTTTACATGTAACTGGGGAAAAATAAAATACTAACTAAATAAGAAAAAAAGGTGTGGCACTTTGAATTAAACGCAATACTTCCAATGTGTTCTGACACGGGACAAGCATATCTGTACAGTCACAAATCTTGATATAGACGTTGTTCCTCTCTCAAGGCAGCATTAAGATCACATTATCATATCATATTGAGCCTGACATCCACCAGAACCTCCAGTACTATTTTCTATCCATGCTCTTCCTCCCTTCTTATATTTGACGTTTTGTTAAGGGTAAGGCTTTGTATTTGTCTCTATTCAGTTTCCTTTTACCAGATGGATCTCATTTCTCTAACATATCCAGTACACAAACGTGTGGCTTAGCAGTGGAATATAAGTGAGCTGGAGGCAATGATTCTGTCCTCCAACTCAAAGCTTCAGGGCCAGGAGGGACAGGGAGCAGGCAAAACTTTGAAATGAAGACTTAAGCCTCTGGGAAGCAGCTTGAAGTTCAGGTAATGTTGACTTCTTCCTGCTCCCTATATTTTGGCTCCCTAAACCTAGAGAACCCCTCTATGATCAGTAATAGTGGTCTTACTCACCTCAGCTCTTCTAGCATCATCCCACATCCACTGCAATTAACCATCTGGTCTGGCCTTTGGATTCAATATTCTTCACTCCTCTCTTTAGCCTGTCTCCCATTGCAGTCTACAAATTATCTTTCTCCCTCTCTGAGGGAGTCTTTAAGTAGCAGTTTTGGACCTTGCTTCTGGAAGACCATGACATGGTCCTCTCGTATACAGATGACCTCATAGAGCTGCGATGATAGGCTGTCATACTGCTAGAGTCCAGACAGTACCAACAACAACTACCTCAGATGTCTGATAAATCAGCCATACTATAGAAAATATTTGAAACCTTGAAATACATAAATTCCTTGCTCAGTCATTACTTGAAAGAGGGTGGCCCTGGCCTCAGGCAGCAGAGATTACTCTATCTTCATCCAGGGATAAAAATGCCTCATGAGTTGCTATTCATGCTGCATTTATTTTCTTAAGTCAAGCATTTATTATGCACTTAGTATGTGCCAGGCATTTATTAGGTAGCTACTAAGTGCTAGTCTTAGGGTATATAAAGACAAAAATTACCAAGTCCCTGCCCCACAAAGCTTACATTACATTGGAAGTGGGAAGTAGTTAGGTTAGGATCTAAACCACCCATTCTAGCTGGGACTAGAGTTAAAGTACAATGAGAAAGCAATCTGCTTTGAAGAGATGGAAATTTTCTTTTTTTTTAATATAAACTCCACTTCTATGCTGACTCTTTCTCATTCTCCATCCTGTGTCCCACTGTCTTCAGACCCTTGAGGTCAAACTTTTAGGGTCTTGATTATTATTGGTCCTGGTTATGCTAGATACCGTGGCATTTGCCAACTTTGTTGCAGGCCCATGGACATCCCACTGGTAGTTCAATGCAGGTCCTTCATTGACAAAACCAAGTCGCTATAGAAGGGGAGAAATATTATGAACATAAACATGACCTTTCCTTCCCTCTTTCCTGGTAGTACTACAGACCAGTTTTCCAGCAAGCCCAGTGCCATTAATACATGGGGCTCAGGGAATATCAGTCTGTACAATTCTCATACTGAAAAACAGATGGCTTACCACAACTGTATTTCATATCCTGCCATAGGTGCTATCCACTTCCTACACCAGGACACCTTAATGTTAGAGCCTATAAAAAGATGACATAGCAGAGAATGGCCCTCTAGGATGGCAGATGTGGCCCCTATTAGGTTATTCAATTGTACAGCCTTTTTCCAAGAGTCCCAGTCTAGATTTCTTCATTGATGAGGCCAGAGACAGTGTTCATAAGGGAGGTGTTGGAGAAAAACTTAACAGAGGAGTCTATCTGCCCCTCCATTTTCCCTGCTAGAGGACTGTTTCTGGACTTTTATAACAGCCTCCTAAATTTTCTCCCTGCCACAAGTCTCCCCTCTTGCCAAACCAGCAGCCACACTGCTACCAAAGGTATTTCCAAAAGCAAAGGTTCTAACCATGTTACTCCCTTACTCACAAAAGCTCCATTGGCTCCCTATTGCATCTAGCAAGACATACAAACTCCTGTTTGGTCATGAAAGCCCTTGACAATCTGGCTTCAGCCTCTCCAGATTGGTTACACTTTACTCCCTTGCTCTTAACTCTACAATTCAATCAAACTGAACTTGCTGTTTGTTACTGTGAAATTCCACCCCCATCTCTGTGCCTTTGTACCAGCTGTCCCCTGAGCCCCATGCCCGGAATGTACTTCCTCCTCTTCCCCACTTTGTAGAGCCCCTCATCCTCATCAAAGATCAGTTCTAATGCCATCTTCTGTATGAGACCTAACTACTAGTGCCCCTCTCCCAATAACTTTTAATTTACCTTGTACACACTTAGTAAGCACTTATATGTTGTTTCCATTGATAGAATGTAAGATTCTTGAGGGCAAGGACAGCTTCATTTTTGTCTTCGTAACCCCAGTGTCTAACAAAGTTCCTAGCATGTAGGTATTTAATAAATGTTTATTGATTGATTAATTGATTGATTAGAACCCCAAGGCTATTTGCCAAAAAGTGAAGACATTAATCAGTCATAACTCTATGTATAATCACTCTGTGAGATCAGAATCCCCTGCCCATGATACCTGATGGACTAGTTGACAGGGCCAGAAATATCCACCAAATTGAATATCTGAAGGGCATGTATTTTGGCCCTGATTCAAAATGGGAATGATTTGAAGTTGACTTTCTGAGCATGGTAAAATTTGAATGAATACTATTGAAGGAATCATATGTACCATTTGGGTTGTATGACACCTCAGAAGTTCTTCAGAGGTTTGCAAAATCTACTCCAACAGCTATTGTATTAAGGTGTAGTAGCTAATCTTGATGATATCTTCATACTCCCAGAACCCTCTACAGCACATGAAATGGGTAGGTGCTACTTTAGAATACTTACACCAGCACGAGATTGTTAGTTTGGGTTTGTAAAAACTGAAGAAAATAATAAGGAAATATAATTCATGGAACATATAGTAAGTTGTCACAAATCCATGTAAGATAGAGGCCATACCACACAAAGTGGACCCCAACTCCACAAAGGATCTATAATGGTCCCTCTGCTTTGTGGAATATTATAGTCACTTTCTCCCTGGGTTCTCTACCCTGACAGTACCATTTAGCAATCTGTTTTAAAAAAAAATACTCCAGAGGGACAGCTAGGTGGCACAGTGGATAGAGTTCCAGATCTTAGAGTCAGGAGGACATTAGTTCAAATCCAGCCTCAGACACTTGACACTTACTAGCTGTGTGACCCTGAGCAAGTCACTTAACCCTGATTGCCTCTCCAAAAAGCAAAAAATAAGCATAAAAAACACCCCAGGCTTTTCAGTGGATATAGAAGGCAAAGGGTTCATTTAACAATCTGAGGAACTAGCTCACCTTAGCCTCTATTGTTAGACATGTTTGGATTCACTAAAACAAAATGGAAAATGATATATATCATCAGGCCCAATTGTTGACTTTTCAAGCAGGGTGGCATCAGCACACAAGGGAGAATCAGTTTTACATGGTCTTAAGCTCATATTTGCCCATCCTTCCTGGTGACGCTCAGTAGTCAGTGCTCTGGATCTGTGATGACAGTCCCTTGGTGCACTATGTGAGCCTGCATTGGCCCTTATATCCAACAATACTTTAGGAAGGTGTAGTTTCAACATGATTTTGGCCAGTATGTCATCATATGAAATATGTGTTGAGACCCAGGATCCAGTAGGGTGGCCATCAGACTTACCATCACTTAGTTGATAAGTCTAGTAACCTGATGATACGAATTATCTTCCTCACACTATGTCCAACCTACCATATTTGTTATAACAGCTGCACTTTGATGGCAAACTAAATTATCCAAATTTCCCCCAAATCCTGCTAATGGTAAATCAGTAGATAGAATACATGCATCAGAACCAAAATAGTAAAAAAAAAATCAGTAGAAAGAATACATGTATCTTTTACCCATAGAATTATTGGGGCTACCTCTAGCAGCTAGGGGATTTACAGGGCTAAAGGCTTAAAGAGAGGATATGAAAGATAGTGTACAATTTGTGTGCTTCAGAACTGCATCAACACTACTTAACCAAGTAACAGCCTGAAGCTTAGGGAGTCATTCTTTGGGGAGTGATAACGTTTGTATTTTTAATTTTGTAGAGGTGGATGAGTGAACTAGAAAAAAGCAGGGACCAATATGTGAGACACCAGTGCCATATCGGCATAGGGCATTAACATCTTCAGAATAGAATCCCAAGCTTCTGAGAAATAGCTTGAGGTTAGATAAAGTGTCACTTCTGTTATGGTTCCTGATTTGAGGCTCCCTAGACTTCAGCAACTTGAGATTTCCACTTTCGACTCCTTTATTGATATTAGTTCTCCTGCTCAGCTAAGCCTCTTGCACACTGGCAGCACATAGTCACTTGGAGGGGGGAGCTCAAAATGGATCCTGTCTACTCTCCTCTTGTCGCTAGTCTTGCTTTTTCTTACCTCAGCCAACAGTTACCTTGGCCCAAGTATTTTTCCTAATTACCAGCATGTGTCAGCTATGACCAGGGAGAACATGACACCAAAGTCATTTGAATTCTGCTTCTGTCATCTGATACTCTTGTTTTCTTCTCTTCACATGGTAGGATGAAGGAGAGTGAAGACTTGAAGATGATACAGAGTGTGAAGGCCTGGGAGACTAGAAAGATGGTGGTGCCTTCAAAAAAGAAGTTCAAAAGATAGAAAGTTTTAGTTGGAAAGATATTGAGTTCCGTTTTGAACATGATGAGTTTCACATGCCTACTCTGCACTAGTCAAGCTATAGCTCACATCTGAAATATAGCGCTAATTCTGGAAACCATGCTGTAAATTTATTGACAAGAAGAAAGTAATGTGGATGGTAAGGGGGCTTCAGATCATTAGGATTAGTTGAAGGAGTGCAGCTTTTTAGCTTCTAGAAATAAGACTTTGTAGAAACATAATAAACGTCTTCAAATATCTGAATATATAGAGCAAGTTTTTATATAGAATAAAATTGTATATAGAGTCAAATTTTGACTTATTCTGTCTGATTAAAATGGAATTTATAGAAAAGTAATTTTTTATCAATTTAAGGAAGAAGTTTCCAACAATTTGAGCTATTTGAAAATGGAATGCATTGCTTTGTGAAGCAGTGAGTTCCCTGTCATTGACTCTATCCAAAATGAGACTGACCACTTGTCAAGAATCTTTTTGACAGAATTTACACATCTCATAAGGATAAAGAGGAGGCAGGCTAGATAACCTGTAAGGTCCCTTCTAAATCCAAGATTCATATAATCATAGAAGGAATTGGGAATAGGATTCTAAATTAGGAAAGGACCTGAGAGATCATCTAATCCAATCCCCTCTTTTTTGAAGAAAAAATAACTCAGGCTCTAAGAGGGACAGTGGCTTGCCAAAATGATAGTGAGTAGCCAAATCAGGCCCAGAATTCTAGTCACTTCCCTATATTAACGTGAAAACCACAGGAAAGATGAATAGAGCAGGCACATTGTTCCACCTTTATCATTAATGAAGTGCTATGGGTATAAAATCTCAGAGGTTTATGAAATCGGTAAATATTCCCACCACAAGTCCAACATAGAATCCCACTGGGACAGAAAAACGTGATCCACCCTATCTTATCCAAGGACCAAGAGTCCCTCTTTCTATCTCATCTACTCCAGGGAGAATTTCTCTGGGCCTTCAACCTTTGGCTGACTTTGAATTTCCCATTACCTGGAGGAAAGAAGTAGGATTAACAGAGCCAGGGCTTTAGGTGACAGTGCCTAGGTCTTTACAAACATCCAGGTAAGGCCTAGGGAAACAACAGCCAGAGCATCACCTTCAAACACACACACACACACACACACACACACACACACACACGGGCACACGCACGCATGGGCATGCGCACACACACACACCCCTCTCACGTTCAGACACACAAATAGATAATAAGTATAACTATGCACAGACACACACAGCTCCCTTTTCCAGTTCTGACCAAAGTCAGTGAGAAATTATATCTCAGGCAATCCTAGCCTGCCACAATAGGACACAATTTACAGCAGAGAACAGAAGAACGAAGATTGGGGTGGCGGCTTAGGTGCTATTTTGTAAAAAACTAGACTAGACTGTGGTCTTTAAGAGAGAATCCTAGGATGAGAGCTGGAAAGAACTTTAAACATCATCTAGTCCTAAACTTACATTTTAAAGAAACTGAAGACCAAGAGAAAAGAGTCTGACATGTAGGTAGTTAGAGCTGGTATCAAAACCAGGTTTTTTAGATCCAAATTCAATGGTCTGCCCATTATAATAGAACCAGGGGTGTCTCATACTGGGACCATGAAGAGATCACAGAAATTTCCCATTTATATTTTAGAGAAACTCTAGATTTTTTGCCTGGAAATTGAAACTCTTATCAACGGACCCCCCCCCACCACCACTGTATCTTTTTCGTTATATTCCTCATTCTTCCTCTAATGTGCAGCCTCCATTCCAGCTAGGCTGTTCTCGTTTCCCTTTCCTCACTACTTTGTGTTTTCCCACCTACAAAACTCGGTGTAGCCTATTTCCCTCTGTCCAAACTGTTATCCCCCTCTTCTGGTAACTAAATGCTACCCACATAGCAAGGCCCAGCCAAAGTCCTCATTGTCTCTGATCAATCCAATCTACACTGAATTTTCCCTTTTCTAGATTCCTGTAGCAAGTGCTATTTAATCTAGCCGAGGAACTCTTGAACTCTAAGGTACCTCCCTGCTGTAATAGTCTATGAATTTGTAACTCTAAAATTCTCTATATTTTAAGAGCAGGATGAGAAAATAAGTTTATTTTAATAGGAAAATATTAGGGGTATTTATGTTCTCCACAGAGAAGTATGCTACATAGCTTTGTCTTTCCCTTTTCTCTACTGTATTATGGAAGAGATGTCATTCTGAAGGAGCTGAATCTTGTGAAGACTGACAGACTGGGAAAGAAAACAGCTGAGGGAAGAGATCTTTAAACTAAATCTCCTAAAGCTACTATGAAAATCTACAAGGAAACTTTGATGAGGAGTCATCATAAGAGTGGGAAACCATCTTGAAGGCTTGGAGCAATGTAGCAGCTGCATAAAGAGATTTGAGTGAGTAAGGAAAGAGTATTCACATCTAAAGGTATTGAATTTAAACCAAAGTTAGGTCATAAGACCACAAGATTTAGGTCTTAGATCATAGATTTAGAACTGGATGGGACCCTAAAGGTCATCTAGTAAATTCTTTCATTTTAAAAGTGAGG